AACCGAACGGTTACCCACCAGAATGGTTATGGAGTCAGGGCCATAAGGACCTTTTTCATCAAAAAAGAATAAGAAGAAGGAAAAAAAAAAGAAGTGTCCTTCGGGACATCCGTTAAAATTGGAATGATACAGAGAAGATTAGCATGGCCCCTGCGCAAGGATGACGCACATAAATCGAGAAATGGTCCTTTTTTTTTTTTTTAAGAAATAAAAAAGAACAGGGATACTCAGCGTGGAACCTGTAATGGTAAGAATTCAGAAAAAAAACGAGGCTCTTGCTGGACAGGAGCCTGGGTTACCATGTATCAATGTCTGCTTGGAGGCTCGAACTGGCGACCTGGATTGCTGGACTAAGGGTTGAGGTAACTGAGCTCCTTGCTTGGGTACATGCGTTTTGGAACCGGTGACCTACTCGACTTTTTTTCGGAAATTGCTGAGACTGCATGGAGTGGGTCTCGAACCAGCGACATATGGTAACTATTTTGACCTGTTTTTTTTTTTGTTTTTTTTCGAAGGGGCAGCCAGGGTAGTATTAGCCTTTGTTAATGTTTGAACTGGTGACAAGTGGACTTGATTTGGAACTGATGACCTGCTACTGTGACTTCTAGCTTGGAAAGATACCTGTTGACAGGCGTGACACCAGGATCAGCAGGTCTGTTCTGGATCGTCCCAGAAGGGCGCCGGTACCAGTTTGAGCAACTAGAGTAAGAGGTAGAGTCTGATTTGGGATTTGGCGATATAAACAGAGCGTCCGATGAGTTATTCCTCTCTACAGGTCGAACGTGTCTCACTGAGCGCCAGCATCCTGATGATGGCGCAAAGTGAGAACGGGAGTGGGTTAGTGGATGGACTGGGCTATAGTCGGGGGAAGAAGGCTGGAAGAACCCCCTGAGGATGACACCGTGGCGGGTGTCGAAACGCGGCGTCTGGGACGCCCTACCTGTACACATGTATTACATTGAGTTATCTACGAACGCTTTGATTTCAACTTGTCTCGTTTGACACGCTGATGTGTGATTTTTACTACTATAAACTATCTTGCTGGCTCCGTGGATAACTTTTTTCTTTTTTCCCTCAATTTGTTCGTGTCATCCTTGCTCAGGGTCAAAATGCTAATCTTCACTGTGTCGTACTATCGTTCCAATTTTAACGGATGTACTCTGAAGGAGGAACTCTTCAGATGGTCTGTGGTACTTTTGCATGCATTTGCTTTTTTTTCCATTAATCGTAAAGTGGGCCTAGCCCTTCATATTGCAACTCAGGTTTTGAACTTTTGACCTTTACATTAACAGTTTTAGCTTTGTACCATGCTTGTCTGTTTGTGTTTGTGTTTGTGTTTGTGTTTGTGTTTGTGTTTGTGTTTGTGTGTGTGTGTGTGCTGTACCTATGCTGGGTGGTGCCTCCCTCTCTATCACTGTCTATTTTCCTTTTTATAACTCTCTATCTCTTTTGGCAAACAGTTGAGGCGCTCAAGACTATTGCCACCGGATCCCCCCTTGGCAGCCTTTGGAATGAGCTACGAAGTGATCCCTGCAGTGGTAAATGGCCGGGAGTGGGTTGTTCAGATAGCCAGAATGCGATAATAGAGCTGTAAGTATCCCTGTACCAGCAGCAGTTCAGGCAAAGGACTGTCCTGTAGACCTCTCCGCAACCCCAATGCTTCCTTGAGTTAAAGGCTTCCCACACCCTTTGATTCCGGAGTGGAACTGTGTCGACCAGGGAGACCGGTAGTCAAGAGCCTGTCACAAAACTGTAAAAACAAGGAAAGTGTGAAACAATTTTTCTATTTTTTTTCTATTTTTTCACACTTGGCTCCAATCTATTTGTGGGGAGGCCCGATGACCCAAAGGAACAAGTGAAACAACTAGGAAGTGCTGTATGCTGGGATGGGCTTGGGGGATGGCTTTTCGGGGTTTGGTTTGCGCGTTGTTCCGATGATCTCAGGTCTGTTCTGGTTGTCACTCCATGGGGGTGGGGGGGGGGGGGGGGGGCGGGAGATCTACAGGGTACATGGACGAACCCGTGCTGTGCATTCAGGACTTAGTCGATCGCTTGGGGTACTAAACAGAGCTATCTCGTATGTGGAAGCTCTGGTCGCACCTATAGATGGACCCTGCTACCTTCTTCCCCCGAACATAATGCATATGCGTTGTATTCGAGTTTTCCAAAAAAAATGCTTTTTCGAAAGTTAGTACCTTTTTTTCAAATAGAAGAGCACTTTGAATACAACGCATATGTGCCGTATTTGAATAAATCGCATATGCGTTCTAATCGGATTTTGGAAAGAGAACAATGTTTTATTCGAATAGAACCCTCTTTCTTTCGTTTCTTTGTTTGTTTTTTTTTCCGTTTTCGTCCTGGCTCCTGCAACTCTTGGTGGAGCGAGTTGCGTAAGAAAAGGGAAAATAAAGTAAGTTGAACTCACCTGTAGCTCGCCTTC